GCGTCAAAAACGCAGGTGTCACATCTGTCGCTCCAATACGCTTTTATCTATGGCCATCTATAGAAAGGCGCGAATGAACAGCAAAGCACATGCTCAACTACGTTTGATGGAGGTTGGAAATATATTTGGTACCATAAGATAAATCGAGTCTTTGTCACTAAAATCCAGAGCCACTAGCATGGCCCAGCATAACGGGTCGTATAATGTGTGAGTCTATGGCCAGTAATAGTAGTTGGAGATGGGGATATGTTTGTACTAAGTATGTTTTAGGGGGTTTAGGCACATGTCGTGGATGCTGTTGCATAAGGGTAACTAGTATACACACTTAATTTATGTCTTACGCTATACCAGCCATAAAACTCGATGAGTGTCTGCTGCATGCTGTGTGTCTCAAATCTTCATTAAAGTGGTCTGTGTGTGTATGTTGTGAATCGAGCTAAACCAATCGACCTGAACCTCCAGGCCACCCTCACAGCCCTCGCATGTTTCTGTCTACGTCCATCCAACTACTGCATCACGCACTATACAAACCCTGATGTTAACCTCATCCATATTATCTGCACCGGACTTGTGCACCCAGACGCGTATTTCGGACTCTTGGAAGACCACTCCCTCGACCATTCGCACCATCCCTGACTACACCATTGACTTTGCGGGCCGGGAAGGAGACCTGCATATCATCGCTGAGTTTGTGTATACGTCGAAGGATTCGTGCAAGGTAATCGCAAATCATGTAAAATTTATGATATACAATATATAATAACGTATTCAGTGCTATCATTATGCAGTGTATTAGACTTATAATATATAATATATAATAACGTATTCAGTGTTATTATTATATATAGTGTATTAAACTTATTTGTATAGTGTATCAGACTTGTAATATAAAATATATCGTACCGTATTCAGTGCTATTTTTAAATAGCGTATCAGACTGATAATATACAAGAGTCCAATAGTGTATTATTATTTTATTTTGTATTAGACTGATAATATACAATATATTGTAACGAATTCAGTTATTATTATAGTATATCAGACTTATAATATAGAATATATAATAAACTATTTATTGCTATTGTTATATTTTGTATTCTACCTACATTTGGGATCGGTTCAAGCCTCAACATGCGCTCGCCTACTCAACAACTACTCGTTATGAAAGCGACGGTAAACCCTAAACCGTAAACCCTTAACTTTAAACCGCAAACCCTCAAACCCTCTAACAATTCTCTACCCCCGAGATTTTGCAATACTGAATTAGAAAGGCGCGTTTATATTGTTTATATTAGGGTTTAGGGTTTAGGTTTATATCTGAGTTGTATGTGACGCTACTGTCGTTTTATGACCTTTCGCAGCTCTAAACCCAAGATATTGCAGTATAAAATTAGGATGCGCGCCCAGATTATTATCCAAAGAAAATAATAGAAAGTGGCTTCATATCCGAGTTATCAGCAACACATGTTTCTATTTATAAAACAGAAAGTGACTTTGTATCCGAGCCATACCGTTGACTTCTTTCTCTACACGTGAAATAAAAAGTGATTCCACAACTGAGTTATTCGTGACACGGTTGACATGTTTTGACATGTTGTGACATATTTTGACATGTTTCAACTTGTTCTGACACGTTTCATTGCCTTTTGCAGATTGTTTGCCTGCATGGCCGCCCAGGCTGTGGCAAGAGTCAGTTTGCGTACCGAGTGGCGTCTGAGTTCAAAGATCTGTTTCCGAACGAAGAGTTCGTATGTGATCTGAGAACACCAAAGGGAGGGACGCTAGAGGTACGGCTCTTGGTCATTGATTGGGTGGTAGTGGGTATATATACAAGACTGTGTGTGCTATAGACCGACTCTCTGGGTCAGATTATCATACGTGTCTGGGTATGCATACGGTTCTACAGTATCAATTCACGTTGTATGTTCGCAGTTAATTGTGTGGTGTGTATATATGAATAAGTTTCTTCTGCAGACAAGAAGGAACAAGTGTGTGTGCGTACAAGCTCTTCTACAGCAACTTGCCGAAAAATTAAACCCCTGAAACCCTAAAACCTTATAACCCTAAACCACCACATTCTCTTACTTGCATTTTATCTCTCCTAGCCACGGGATGTCATGGCTATTCTCATTCGGTCTGTATGGCCTGACAAACGCCTCTCCAACTTAACAGATGCTGCCATCAAGAGTATTTATATCTCTTGCTTCCGACAAAAGTATGTACAAAGAATCTTAAGCCACATTCAATCCCTTGGTAATTGTGTCTCTGTATGTCACATATTATTCATGTATATATATATATATATATATATGTATGTGTGTGTGTGTGTATCCTTGTTCAGCAGCAATCTAGCGCGATGTCCAGGTAATATGAGTGCCCTTCAAGCGCTATGCGCTTGTGATTAAATACTTCACCCACGTCAAATGTCGGTGACAATGGACTCACCTCTAAACTCCTACACCCTATACCTTAACCCCTCAATTCTAAACCCTTGTCCTCAATCCCTAAACCCTAAACTCAGACCCATAAACCCTAATCAATTGCGTACAGGAGAACAATCCTCATCATCGAAAACGCGAGCGACTACTCGTCTGTAGAGGAGCTCATCCCCAGCGGAGTGGACTGTTTGTGTATCATCACAAGCCGAAAGAACTTGGGACTGGACATACAGGTCAGATACCCAACGGCCCTGAATATGGTACGTCAAGCGCTCAACGTATTAATCTCATAGCCTGGGTATTGTATAGAAAAGTCTCATTGCGTGCATACCTTAGATGAATATAGTACGTCAACCGTTGAACGTATCAAGCTCATAGTCTGTGTGTTGTATAGAAGAAGTTTCATTGCGTTTATACGTTCGATGATTACGGTTCGTATATCGCTCGACGTATTGCTCTCATAGTCTGGGTATTGTATAGAGAAGTTTCATTGCGTTCATCATCAACCTCTTACCCAGTCTGTGTATTGTAGAGAGCTGAGTGCTTCTACGTAATTCAGTGTGTGTATACCCTAAAGCAACACTTGACCTTATTGTGATGCAGTTTGCTATATAGCTCTATACACTTGTCTAATAGCTCATATTGTTGGTATATGTTAAACCCTATATGGGACCACGCACGCGCGTATCTATGAACTTTGATCTGTGGAGTGTCTACAAATATACTATGAATCTTTCATGTTTTCATAGTATAAATTCACTGTTCCCTCCATAGCTAGCTATGCTTATTACATGTCTTTATGTCTCATCAATACACAATTCTCTGCATAACAATATATATAT